AGAACTTGACTATACTCTACTTCTTGTGTTGAATGTAAATTAGAACTTGACTATACACTACTTCTTGTGTTGAATGTAAATTAGAACTTGACTATACTCTACTTCTTGTGTTGAATGTAAATTAGAACTTGACTATACACTACTTCTTGTGTTGAATGTAAATTAGAACTTGACTATACTCTACTTCTTGTGTTGAATGTAAATTAGAACTTGACAATGTACACTATTATGCTCCAATGATTTTCCCAGTGAGCGGCTCTATAAAGACATGGCAGACCGGATAGCCCACGATGGGTTCAAAGAACTGGGGTACGAATATATTAACATAGACGACTGCTGGATGGCAAAGCTCAGAAACGCCGAAGGTCAGCTGGTTGCTGATCCGAAACGCTTCCCTAGCGGCATCAAGGCGCTGGCCGATTATGTAAGTCTTCGATTTTTATCATTCCCGTTGTCTTTAATGCTAACTTATTCAGCCAAAATATTTTAACTTAAAGTATAAAATTCCAAATAATATCGCTAAAATATTCAAATGTTACACCTGCAATGCACTCTGACTGTTAACTTAATGTTGCCCATGAACAAGACTACGTAACCTATTTATCCAAACAATAGTAATTTATCGTTCTTTAGTGTATTTTAACTGGTTTATAAGTCTATTCAGTACAAATAAAAGCTGTTTCCTTATCCGAAACCTTCTTCCAGAGTAACGTAAATATTCACTGAGAAGTACAGGTAAGCCTAATTTAGAAGTACAGGTAGGTCTAATATAGACCTAATACAGAAGTACAGGTAAGCCTAATATACAAGTACAAGTAGGCCTAATACAGAAGTACAGGTAAGTCTAACATAGAAGTACAGGTAGGCCTAATACAGAAGTACAAGTAAGCCTAATATATAAGTACAGGTAGGCCTAATACAGAAGTACGGGTAAGCCTAATATATAAGTACAGGTAGGCCTAATACAGAAGTACAGGTAAGCCTAATATATAAGTACAGGTAGGCCTAATACAGAAGTACAGGTAAGCCTAATATATAAGTACAGGTAGGCCTAATACAGAAGTACAGGTAAGCCTAATATATAAGTACAGGTAGGCCTAATATAATCGACCAAAGTATTTTTTTCTGCCCGTTAGGTTCACTCCAAAGGTTTAAAACTAGGAATCTACCAAGACTGTGGTATTTTGACTTGCGCAGGATATCCAGGAAGTGCCTTCCACTTTGAAATAGATGCACAAACATTTGCTGACTGGGGTGTGGATATGCTAAAACTGGATGGATGCTACGCTCTTCCCATGCTGATGGATTCTAGTAAGTAACAGGTAGCATGTGAATATGCTAGAACTTGATGATTGTTACACTCTGTCCTTCTTGATCAACTCTAGTAAGTAACAGAGAGGGATAAGTAGGTAGTTTCGTAATGTTTCACATTTGGTAATTTGTTTTTAAACTCTTTTCTTGTAGTTTATCCTCGCATGACAAAAGCGTTGAACAAAACAGAAAGACCCATCGTATTTTCTTGCGAATGGCCAGATTACCAGCGTGGTGTTGGCCAACACCAGACGAGACAATGGTAAATCAGAACAAAATATTTCTTACTTTCATTCCAACACCAGACGAGACAATGGTAAATCAGAACAAAATATTTCTTACTTTCATTAATGAAAGTAAGAAATATTTTGTTCTGATTTACCATTGTCTCGTCTGGTGTTGGAATGAAAGTAAGAAATATTTTGTTCTGATTTACCATTGTCTCGTCTGGTGTTGGAATGAAAGTAAGAAATATTTTGTTCTGATTTACCAT